CACTCACACACACACACACAATCACACACACACAATCACACACACACACATTTTTGCATGTTCTTCATTAGATATTAAGTAAATGAGCAGTCCAAAAAAGAGAACGATAATATTTTGTGTAACAGAAATTAAATTCGGATTTACCCAAATATATGTGCAGTATATAACTAATCAGTCCATTCGGTAAAAATCAGCCTCAGATCAGATCCAGGGTTATTATAGTAAACTAAAAAAAGAAGAAAAAAAGAAATAATATATATGTCTCATATCTCATTAATATATTTATAAAAACATAAATGTATTTTTAAAATATAAAAACTAATAGCAAAAACACAACAAAAATTACACTGAAAAATTAGAATGAAAATAAAAAATACAAACTAATTCAAAATATTAATAAAACTATAATAGCATCTCAATGATACTAAAATAACACTGCTTAGATCTCACATCACATCAAATTTGTCACATAAAATAATTGTAAAACATTTTTTTATTATATATATATATATATATATATATATTTCCCTAAAGAAAATTTTAAAAATCCTTTCATGAAGCTTAGTGAATTCCTAATTGGTTTACTACAGTCCCAATGGACTATCAAATTCACCTTTATAATCTACTCTAATTAAAGGTCGCTCATTTTCAAAAGAAATGATGAAGTAAATTCAGTGTAGACAATGCAGTCTGAGCTGAAAAAGGCCTGACATCCACATCTTGTGCTTTAGGTAATGGACAACACAGACATCCACTGTGTGCCCAACACCTTGATGATCGTGGGTCTGGCTTCAATGGGCATCAACTACTTTGCCAGTCGAATCTGCCAGGATGCCCTGGATCCCGGCCGTTTCCCACGATGGAAGACCTACCTGAAGCCCTTTTTTGGATGCTCGGTCTTCTTCAGCACCCTCATGCTGCTTTCAGTCATCCTGAGTTACGCCATGAAGGGCAGCCTGGAGTCCTCGCTGAAGATCGGGCTGAAGAACGGCATCCGCTTCTACAAGGACACCGATACCCCCGGCCGCTGCTTCCAGAAGCAGACCATCGATCGCCTTCAGATGGAGTTCCAGTGCTGCGGGAACAGCAACTACAAGGACTGGTTCGAGGTGCAGTGGATCAGCAACCGTTACCTGGACTTCAGCTCGAAGGAAGTCAAGGAGTGAGTCACTGAGAAAGCGTTAGAGCGATACAAGAGTTCACCCACATATGAAAACCGTGTCGCCATTTACACACCTTCACCAAAACAACATCATTCGAAGAATGCTTCTTCTGTTTTGTTTCCAAGAATCTTCTTTTATTTTCCACAGGATGAAGGCTCACACTTCACATAGTCAGTTAAGTTTGAGGATTAAGGGATCTAGAATACGGTCATGCAGAGTAAGGCATTAATATGTGCTTTGTAAGTACTAATAAACAGCCAATGTGCTATAGTTATATGCGTGCTGATATAGTGAGAACTGGATCTTGAACTAAAGTGTTACCAAATAAAGAAATGCACACAGGTTTAGAACACCACAATGGTGAGAGAATAAAGCAATAAGCCCCAAGAAGCCAGTGAATTATAACAGCTGAGGGGCGTTGTTAGGCACGAGCTGTTATAAATTGCCGAGCAACACACAAACGTAAACAAAGGTGTGTGTTACTTTGTAGCGTCATTTACAACAGCTTCGAACGCGGCTCAGCCAATCAGAATCAAGCACCGGAACTCTCCGCTTTATCTTAATCTTTTTAATCTTCATTTTTTGGTGAATTGTCCCTTTAGCATCCGTATTACTCTGTTTAGGACACTTGAGGAGAACTTGAGACTTCATCCATCCACTATAAATCACCCCGAGACCAAAATGGCTCAGAAATGTGAAGTTAGTTCTGAGAAGTCTCTAGCATCATTCATTTTCAGATGCCACATGATTTGATGTTTTGTTTCGAATTAAGTGTCGTAAATCTCCACTATGAGTGGTTGGATATTTGAGTGACGGCGCAGTTTCTTAACAGAAAGTTCTATTATAATTCTTTACAAAATCATGTCATATGCCTAAAAGAGGCTGATATTGCCTGTTTTGTAATACCAATGCTATGGATGTTTGTAAATGATTGGAACAACACACCCTTGTGAAAAAGAAGTGCGCTTAATTCTAGTGAATGTGCACTTGTAGTGTACTTCAAATCTGAAAAGTATATTTTTTAAAAACTGTACTTGCAGGAGATATAATATTAATGAAATAAAAGGCCACTTAAGTGTACTTAAAGAGAGTCTACTTTCTTAAGTACACTATTAAAAACCACTTTGCTGTAATGTCAAGTTAGTACACTTATTTTGATGTGTTGATTAGCATACTGAAGCACATGTAAATACTTGATTATAGTTTTAAAGTTAATTATTTTAAAGGCACTAAATTGCAACTTCATCGTAATTTAAATACACTACATATACGTTTCAGTCAAAATGTCATTAAAGTATATTTGAGTTTTCCAGTGTTATTTGTCACTCATGTATTTGAAATTTTGAAATTATAATTATGAAATTGCATTTAAAGATGTGCTGCTTAAGTGGGTGAGAAATACACTCTGAAATTCAACTAATTGCATTTAGCATAAATGCAAACTATAATGCATTTTCATTTAATTGCAAATAACATGCAGTTAAGCATCCAAAAACATTACATTCACTTTGGACTTAAGCAAATTCTTTTAAAGTATATTATTTCTGCGATAAGTACTCTTTTTAAAAGTATGCTGAAGTGTACTTCTTTTTCACAAGGTTTTGATGGCACTGTATTTCCGCTTGAAGTGTGGACAAGCAAACTGTTTGATGCTGGAAATCATTGATTACAAATATTATTATAATTATGATAAATTATTCTTAAAATTCATATTTTCTCGAGAAGTACTTAACTAATGCACCTTATTGTAAAGTGTTACCCATACTGTAAATGCATTGCTCATGTTTAGTTCATGTTACAGATTTAGCGTAATTTATCGCATTGCATTAACTACAGTGACTGAAATGCATTTTTGCTAAATGAATCATTTCAGAAGATTGCAAAAAAGACTAAAACGCTAATGAATTGCAATGCATACAGCAAATGACACATTTTTGATTAATATATAATAGCAGATTAAACCCGTAATATAGGAAATAAACCCCCAAATTCTGGTATTTTTCCACATGCATGTATATTTACATTTACATATATGCACTTAGCAGACACTTTCATCCAAAGTGAGCAATTAGTCAAGGAGCCAGCAACATTCGCAGGTTTATTAGACTAGATTAACCAGCCATTTTTAACCCATTCCTCACACCGAACACCTCTCGTCTACAGTGCTCAGTGTTGGCCAGTGTGCGCCTCCTGCAGACGTCTATGGAGGCCGTGGCTGGACAGGAGAATGTGGAGATCGACACCGAGGGCTACTTGCATCGTAATTTAAATACACTACATATACGTTTCAGTCAAAATGTCATTAAAGTATATTTGAGTTTTCCAGTGTTATTTGTCACTCATGTATTTGAAATTTTGAAATTATAATTATGAAATTGCATTTAAAGATGTGCTGCTTAAGTGGGTGAGAAATACACTCTGAAATTCAACTAATTGCATTTAGCATAAATGCAAACTATAATGCATTTTCATTTAATTGCAAATAACATGCAGTTAAGCATCCAAAAACATTACATTCACTTTGGACTTAAGCAAATTCTTTTAAAGTATATTATTTCTGCGATAAGTACTCTTTTTAAAAGTATGCTGAAGTGTACTTCTTTTTCACAAGGTTTTGATGGCACTGTATTTCCGCTTGAAGTGTGGACAAGCAAACTGTTTGATGCTGGAAATCATTGATTACAAATATTATTATAATTATGATAAATTATTCTTAAAATTCATATTTTCTCGAATTCATATTTTCTCATCCAGTGTTACTTGCGTGTTGTAAACATAAATACTTAACTGTCATTAAGTCATTTTTTGTTCTGCATTCAGCATGGTATTAAATGCATTGTAAGAGTTAAAAGACGGTGTAGATGATGCTCAACGCTCTGCTATGAAACACTGTACTGCACTCTCAGAACCGTCAGAAATCTGTCGAGTCTAATAAAATCTGACATTTTGAACTGCTTTGTCGTGTAGTGATATTTTGTGGAAACAGATGCACACTGTATATCCCCCCGCTTCGGCCTTATCATCAATTCTTTTGAACTTCTGCACATTCACACAATAGCATCCAGGTGTATTTATTTATGCACACAGTAAGGTAGACATGCACACGGTCTCTTACACACATAAATAGATAATGAAGGATGATGACTGATGGCAGCATGTAGAGTGAAAGCCCAGTGTCTGTGTCCTTTATCCTGTAACCTGTCCTAATCTGTTAATAATACGCTAACTGCTGCACAAGCACTCACACACTTACCGCATCCAAAGCATGTTAATACATGAGGGAAGATGAATATCCATATGCATGTGTACATGTCAAGTGCTCATCTACAGATTGTCAAGCACTTTATATATATATATATATATATATATACACTTGTATACAATACGAAACACACCCATATGTGGCAACATGCCTTTGCTATAAGTCAACTCACCTTTATTTATATAGAGCTTTTAACAACACAGATTGTGTCAAAGCAACTGTACAGCATTAATTAGGAAAATAGTGTGTCAATAATGTTAAAATGATAATAGTAAACACTCAATGTTCAGTTAAAGGCAGTTCATCATTGAATTCAGTGATGTCAGCCTCCAGCTCAGTTTAAATAGTATCTGTGCAATCAAGCCCACGATATCGCTGGAAATTACGCTAACTGCTGCACAAGCACTCACACACTTACCGCATCCAAAGCATGTTAATACAGGAGGGAAGATGAATATCATATCATGCATGTGTACATGTCAAGTGCTCATCTACAGATTGTCAAGCACTTTATATATATATATATATATATATATACACACTTGTATACAATACGAAACACACCCATATGTGGCAACATGCCTTTGCTATAAGTCAACTCACCTTTATTTACATAGAGCTTTTAACAACACAGATTGTGTCAAAGCAACTGTACAGCATTAATTAGGAAAATAGTGTGTCAATAATGTTAAAATGATAATAGTAAACACTCAATGTTCAGTTAAAGGCAGGCTATCATTGAATTCAGTGATGTCATCATCCAGCTCAGCTCAGTTTAAATAGTATCTGTGCAATCAAGCCCACGATATCGCTGGATATTAAGCATCCCCAACCAAGCAAGCCAGAAGAACCAGAACTCCATCGGTGGCAGAATGGAGAAAACACCTTGGGAGAAACCCGACTCAGTCAGGCACCAAACCAGCAGTTCAGTTCCAGGCTGCAGCAAAGTCAGATTGTGCAGAGGACTCATCTGGCTCCCGTGGTCTGTCTCAATAACAAGCACACTTCATTGTTTAAATAGTATCTGTGCAATCAAGCCCACGATATCGCTGGAAATTAAGCATCCCCAACTAAGCAAGCCAGAGGCACCAAAACTCTTATCGGTGACGGAATGGAGAAAACACCTTGGGAGAAACCCGACTCAGTCGGGCACCAAACCAGCAGTTCAGTTCCAGGCTGCAGCAAAGTCAGATTGTGCAGAGGACTCATCTGGCTCCCGTGGTCTGTCTCAATAACAAGCACACTTCATTGATACTTTAATGATAACAGCTCACAACAGAGCTTACACACAACCTAGCAATTACACACATGCAACTTGAGATCCAAACAGTGTGTGTGAGACATAAAAGCTGTGGTTACTGGGAGGGGCTGTTCTTCAGCACTGGAGTTGCACCAGCTTTTCTCTCTTTCGCCACCTACACACACACCCAACCACACGTCTGATGTGCTCCGGAGCCGAGTCCAGCAGCGGCGCTTCGGCTCGCTGTCCGAAATCAGAATCAGTTTAGCGAATCGATTCGTTCGAACGGTTCAAACGAGTGAATCGACTCGTTCTAATGAAACAGCACCTCGCTTTTTGTTTCTAACCTCACCTCACACATTTGAACGTAACACTCATACTCAGTCTACACCTCAAATTTGCACATAACATACCTGTACATCCAAAACTGTCTTTTGTAATATACCTGCACATACAATTGTCAATTTATATATTTTTATTCCTTATTTACTTGTTCTATTTTTTATCTTTATTATGAGTTTTTTGTTCTGTCGCTGTCATTCTGTTACACTGTGGAGCTTCTGTCACCAAAACGAATTCCTCGTCTGTGTAAACACACCTGGCAATAAAGCTGATTCTGAGTCACAATTCGAGCGCTTCGCTCGAAAGAACCGATTCAAAGCGACGATTGGTTCGCGATTCGAACAGCACTACTTCGGGCTTCCGTAGCCGAATGGTCCTTACTACACTTTCTTCCAGGCGTTTGTCGTTCAGTTCATTTGCTTTCCCAAACACACGCATGTTTTAAGGCGAGCCGGGCGTGACTACACCCGGAAGGAAGGAGCAAAGCCGTAACACACGCCCGTTCAGCTGTACCGAATCCGCTGCTAGGGACATCGTGAAGTGTCATGGATGATAGCTAGCACGGACGCTAGAGTTTCGCTGTAGAGCAGAAGTCCTCGGACCGACCAAAGCTCGCGATGTCCGGCGAAAGCAGCGGCGAGGACTCGGACCGACACCTCGAGCGCACCGTCAAACACCAGATCACCAGCGGTATGCGCGGTCCGCTACTGATCACAGACTACAGTAGCGCGCTCCGTTACATTGTAACCAGGCTACACTAGCAGCCAAACGCGTTTGAACAGTGCGGTTTTTAATGGTTTTTATTTTTAAGAACTCTCTTTTCTGCTCACCAAGCCTGCATTTATTTGCTCCAAAATATGTGAAATATTTTTACTATTTAAATAACTGTTTTCTATGTGAATGCGTGTTGAGCTGTAATTTATTTCTGTGATTAAAGCAGTATTTTCAGAAATCAGTCTAATATGCTGATTTGCCGCTCGAGAAAGAAACCTGAAAAAATGTACTCAACTGTTTTAAATATTGATAATAATCAGAAATGTTTCTCGAGCGGCAAATCAGCATATTAGACTGACTTCTGAAAATACTGCTTTAATCACAGAAATAAATTACAGCTCAACACGCATTCACACAGAAAACAGTTATTTAAATAGTAAAAATATTTCACATATTTTGGAGCAAATAAATGCAGGCTTGGTGAGCAGAAAAGAGAGATCTTTAAAAATAAAAAACATAAAAACGTTTGTCTGGTAGTGTCCTCCTTGATTACTTCTGCGCTAACTCGTTTATCACACTGATTTAAACAGGGTTATCTTGTAACATATTGATACACAATTTCGTAAAGGAACTGTTTTGTGAGTTCAGTGGAAAGCTAACAATTAATTAAATCATAAAAATGTCAAATTAAAATAAATCATTTTAAAATAACAATCAAAATGCCATGTTTCCAATAATAATAGTAATAATAATTATCCATCTTTTCGAATATCTCCAGTGTTGTACGATTGACGTTTGTTGCCTGATTTCATTCTTTCCTATCTCGGTTTTATTGTAAAAGCAGGAAAAACAGTGCTGCCTAGTATTAGTTTCTGGTATCGCCCAGATGTCATTGCATCTGCATGAACTGTATAGCACATCATATGCGTGTGATAGAAGCATTAATGTGTGTGTGTTTGTGTGTTCTCAGCAAACCTGACGGGATACACTGAGAAAGTCGGCATGGAGAACTTCGAGCTTCTGAAAGTGCTGGGCACTGGAGGTGTGTAACTCATAATACACGTCTGTTCCAGTTTAATAAGCATATGCACCTGTAACGAAGCGGCTCATCGGCTGATCTCTGGGCTGTTGAATACTGTTGAATATCTGCATCTCTGCTTTGCTCTTTGCCAGCTTACGGGAAAGTGTTCCTGGTCAGAAAAATCAGCGGACATGATAAAGGCAAACTCTATGCCATGAAGGTTTGTGCCGTTTTTATCACACGTGACTTGCTGCTTGCCCCTCAGTTAGTAAACAACACAAATGCTGAGTTGTGTGCTTAATGGTTCTTTTGTTAATGGGCATTCTTTTGAAAGATAAGAAGGTGTATTTAAATCATTCACGCATGTATCATAGCATTAAATACTCAATTAGAATACATTGGACATAGTTTATGTCAGCTCAACAGATTTTGATTGAATCACTATATTTTGAGTTGTGTTCTTTGCAGGGTTATGATTGTTTATTAAATCTGAAACCATAAAAACATTTTCATTTCTTGAAATTAAATAATCATTAACTGAAATAAAATAAAATGTTAATAAATGTAAACTTATTTTATTTCGGCACGTGGCCAAGACAGTATTTCTTATTTTGGTTACATTTTTTAAAATAGCTTAATTTAATTTAAATTTTTACATGTATTTATCAAGACCGGATATGACAATATGACATTTTCGTTGCGTTTAAGTTGAAGTAGGGCTGGGTGATATGGCCAAATAATCATATCTCTGTGTTTTTTGGCTGAATTGCGATATACGAAATATTTAGAATTATTTTCTTTTTTTTCTATTTGAATTTAAAAAAAAAAAATATATATATATGTTTTTTAGTTTTTACATCCTGCCTAATGTTGTCTAATGAAACGATGTTTATATTAAAGGCAGTGAAAACAAATATAGTGAATGTAACCGTGTAGGCTGTGTTATGTATTATAAAAGCACATTATATTCTAACACTGTAACATTAAGTTGAAGTACTAAAATAAATAAAACGAAATAAGATAAAACCTACAACTAAAACGTAAATACAATTATATAGACACATTTCAAAAAATAATAAAAACGACAACAAAATTACTAAAACTTTAACAAAAATAAAAATGAAACGAAATCTAAAGATATATAAAAAATAACTATAATAGTTTATATGGGTCAAAGACTAAAAAGGGTTTAAGCATAAAAACAACAAGTGTAATACTGCTTTAAATTGTTGTTGTTTTTCCCAAAAAAATGTAAAAAGTTTTCTGTTTAATTTAATTGCAATTTTGTTTTAGTTTTTTCCGAGCAAAAAATAAACATCATACATTT